TATTGTATGGGCCATAGCGCTTCCAGTATACCAGTAATGTTCCAGTGGAAGTAGAATGCGTGCCGTATCCTAGAAAGGTATTGATCCACGTTGTAAGCTCCATCGTTTTTTGTTCATCATTTACTGCCCAACCTTTCAGAAATCAGAATCTTGACTAGATGAAGGCTTTTTATGGCAGGTTTATAAGTTTCCCGTAACCATCTTGACTAGATGACTGTGGAAATGCTTCAGAATGTCCTACAACTAAGAGGGGGGGGGGTGGGGTGCTTGACAAAACTTCTGCACGAGGGTACCTATTCCTCCAGAACAAACATGACATCACCTTAGCGCAAAACACCTGGACCTCGCATCTAACAAGCCTGCGCGGTCGGCATGCACTACTTATCCCTGAGACGGAGTAGGCGTGGCATCTGAATGTGGCAAGAGACGTGGCATAGGATGGGTCACTCATGGGATATTTCAGTCTGAGACAACTGTCATCTTGTTCTGTGTTGGACAGAGACACGACCACAATTGTGTAAAGCTGAAAATACCCTTCCAAAAGCATAGCTAGGGCCACGATTTGTCGAAGTACGCAGCCACACCTACCACATTTCACGGATTTAGGAGGAACGACAGACATTTCGGCGCCGGACGGATGTGACATTCCCACTCAGAGAATCAACCCATCTCCGCTAGCAAATTTCTGGCCCACCTGTTCTTGGGGACAAAGTTCGACGAAGTCGAGCTTCTGTTCCGAAAAGTGCAATAGTATAGAGGGAACAGTGCCAAATTCATATTTACAAAGAAAAATATTCTGTTCCGGGGTGGTTATGTGAACTATTTTGAAAACATTAGTCTGTTGACATATTTCGAAATTCGAAATTTCCCATGTTTAATGCATGACTAATGTACACATCAGAAATCCATTGTTGTTGAGAATTGTGCGCCAACTAACAGCGAACACTTTTTAGATGAAGTACAATTTGAGATATTTATGTGAATCCCATTATCCGGGGTGATCGATTAGTGTTACGTTTCCAAACGCTTTCAAAAGCGTTCATGAAGCGACTAAACGTCGAGTTCATCTGTTCGCTTGTCGGTTTTGAAAAGGGATTATCCCGATTCATCCCAGGGATTTTGCTCGAAAAATCCAACCGAAGCCAATTAGCGTTTTTGGCTCGGTGCCAAACTCACCTTACTAAATTGCCGGCCCATTCAGGCTGGATTCTCAGAGCAGGGTAAGAATTGTTCAGGTGGCCGCTGGAGATCTGAGGGCAGATGCTGATGTTGAGCAAATTTTCCAAAATACGACCCCCACATCTACGTTGGAGAATTCTTCGCTTACCACTTGCCCTGTTTCCAATGTCTGAAAAGGGGAATCTCGAAAAGAAAGAGGGAAAGACGTAATGAAGACGCTAGCGGCGTAGATCGAACCATCAGTGTTCGTTATGTTTCGGGTTGGCCCATAACAAATGGCAATTACTTGAAATATTTGTGTAGGGGGGGGGGGGGGAGAAGGCAATCAGCTTGCACACTTCGAGCTGTAAGTGTGTGCGGGGCGATGCGCAAGAAGTGATTACAGCAGTTTAGGTTCCGGTTATAATCGAATAACAGATTTCTTTCTGGAATTGTCACTTTTGTTGATGTAAGTTTTTTTTGTGGACTGCGCTTTTTTGCGCTATATCCGCATACGCAGCTCCGAAGTGAAAGAAGTATAGCGAGAACTGACCTTAGACCAAACGAGCTTTCTACCCTCCGAGATGGTAAAGCTATACCAAAATCGCCTGGAACGATAAAAACACTAAAACAGAATTCTACATTGGCCACAGGTCATTTTTCTAAATAGCAGTGTGCTGCTCAGTTAAATAAGCACCCTGCGATGAATCGAGGGAACGAATACATTAAAAAGGATTTGATCGTCCAGGCGAACCTCATTCTTTTTTGAACATCATCTTTTGCTATTTTCATTTGTTCATTCATAGTAACTATTGCACCAAGATTATCTGCCCTTTTTCTTTTTTTAGTTTATTATTTAACGTTTATTAGTGCTGTTCTTATCTAGGCTTTTGTGCCTTGGGAGGGGCTGTCCTCTCAAGGGGTTTAGCGACGTCATGTCTGCTTCTCTGGACTCTCCCATCGCAACAACGTGACATGTTCTGACGTGGCTTAGTCAAAGCCAGAAAATCTCACACTCTCTGTCACTCACTGCATACTGTCACCTAGACACCATGGCGTGGCATAGTCAAGACAATCGTAATTCGCCGCTCCGTCGCGCGCGGCGATCGCGCGACGTGCTCTTAATTTGCATAACACTGTCGAGTGCAGCACCGGACTTATGTAGAATGCGACATCGTTGACACTTACGGCAATTTTTGGTTATACATTGTCGCGAATTACGATTGTCTTGTCGCACTCCATGACGTCGTGTCAAGGCCTAGCGCAGCTGGGCCTCGCCGGAGAAGTCGCCTCCCCCTAGGCACATCGCGCCATTCTTTATTTGAATAGTTAATTAGTGCTAATATTTATACTGTATTTGTATTCAGGTTTACATAGCTGAGGCTTCCCTTCTGACGAATATGGAACAATGTAGCAGCTCTTTGGATCTTGATCACATTATGGACGGATTGAGGCGCCTAGCTATCTTTGAGGCCGACATTCAACGACGATTGTTTTGCCATGTGGGTCTCTTTTAGTGATTTGCACGAACCCCTCAGAATGGCGAGCCGGGTCTCTTCAGAATTACGAAAACCGTGACCTAATGACACATTTATGGGTGGAAAAAGCCCTTCTGAGGGTAAGGCACAGTCGTTCTCGCAGCAGTCGCTGTGGCATGTCAGGGGAGGGGCCATGTTGAGCGCGGCTCGAGCCTTTTCTCGACCAATTACTGAAGCAGGCAAGCGACTGCAGCTGGTGAAAAACGGCTGGTGCCGCTACAAATTTAGCCTTTCTGGCACCCCCAGAGTCTGCTGTGAAAAGGACTACAGTGGTAAGAGGCACTGTTTCAGGAGTGTCATGACTTGATAGCATTTAGCAAGAGCCCTGAGCCCGAAAACGCGGTCAGGCTCGAAATAGCCCCTTTGGCCGGTAGCGATTACGTGGAAAATTTGCTTGTCATGAACTGCGATAAGAAAAAGTAGGGGCTGTGAAGGCCAGAGTGACGTGTT